TCTTTAAATTTTAGGATCAGGGGCACCTAAGCTGTGCTGACAGCTCAGAGCCTAGAGGCTGCTTTGGGTTCTGTATCTCCTTCTCTCTCTGCTCCTTCCCTGCTCACATACTGTCTCTCTCTCTCTCAAAAATAAATAAATATTAAAAATAAATAAATTTTAAAAATAAATAAATTTAAGGAATCAGTTGAGATATTTTTAATTCCATATCAATTAATTTTATTGAGTTTAATTTTAATTTCCATTTAAAACATTCTAATTCATTATAATTTTCTATCAACAGATTTGAAAAGTAGTAACCCCAAAAACAGTTATAAGAAGATGGCATTAATTCCTTCTCTGACTCATCAGAAATATAATTCTTTGAGCTGACTTATCTGTACAAATCTATACAAAGTATCAATTTTCATTTTAATATTTTCCCACAGCAGTTTCCACTTGCTCTCATAGGGCAATGTTCCCCTAGATCTAATGTGGCACTACAAAGGACTTGAACATCAAAGCCTGTAAACATGGACAAGATGGGTGAAATCAACATTAATGAAATATTTGTGCATTCAGGAATGATCAAACAGTGAAAAACACATCCTATTAACCACTGTGTTATTACATTTATTTTTTTTCAAAAGAGAGCTTGTTCCTTAGGGAATATTCCAAGTTGATTTATATGTTACCACATGCTGATCAATACTTACATAATTAAGGTGATATCATTTTGAACACATGTGCATGTGTTCGAAATTATGTGCCCACTATGTCCAAGGCAATGTCTTATGCCTGTTAGAGAATGAAAAGTAATATATTTATCTGCCCCTGCTATCAGAACTTTCTACATGTATCAGGTTTCTATACTAATGGTTTCCTTGGGCATAAAAATTCTGTTACTAGAGCAGAGAGCACTCGTTTCTATTATATTAATCAGAGGAAGAATTGTTTTATAAAGTTTATAAATGATACTCTTATACAAGAGAAAAATTCAAATATTTTATTACCTCTCTTTGCAGTCCTTTGGGAACTCATTATTTATTTGAAAGCTTTGTGTTGTTATCCATTCAAAGAAATACATCTTTGAAAAAGAACACTTTTAAAAATAATGTGTACATCCATAGATAGTTTACCAGAAATACTTTCCTTTCTCCCAGACACTACTGCAGTTTTTAAAGCAAGCAATAAAACAGAAATTCTCCATTATTAATAAGAAGAAACTTCCCAAAGCAATGACATTTTAGAGTGGAAGTAAGGAATAAATGGTCTCTCAAAGAGTGGGGGGATATGGAAATGTACATAACAATTCTGTTTTAGTACGAGCTCAAGTCAGTAAAAGATGGGTCTCCATTTACAATGTAAAATTTAAAAAAAAAATACCAAGATTAGTTACCTTTACAAATTATCCTAGGAGTTAATGGATTCATTGATGTTTTCTCAATAAGGTTCTTGATTATAGACACTATTTTTATAGTGAATCTTTTCTAAGATTAAAAATCCTTGATTTGGGGATTATTATTAATTAGCAGGAAAACAGTACCTTCTGAGAATGTATACTGAGTCAGTTCTTTCAGTGGCTTGCCATTGTATGTTAGATTAAAGCAAGCTCCTTATTAAGACATAAAAAGCCCTGCGTGATCTGGCCTTGATGTTCTTTCCTACTTTACATTGGGCCATCTAGTCTGTTGCTCTTCATGCACCAGACTCACTAGTTTTTGTTTTGTTTTGCTTTCTTTTTTGTTTTCAGTTCCTTCAGTAGTCCACCTCTTGCTTAGAATCTTCTTACATCAGCTAACTTACTTTTTGAATACTGACCACTTCTCTCCAACATTTTTGTCCTCTGGCAATTTTTAAATGGCTAGGTCTTTCTCCGCATTTAGGTTTCAGCTGAAATTTCACCACCTTCTTATCAGGACTTTCCTTTATAAATTTGTGTTTTCTTGTTTTACTGTTTAAATTTAGGCTGTAAATTCTAAAGATAAAATTTTACATTATTTCTAGTTTGTCACAATTGTATCTCCAGCACCTACCATTTGAAACACATTCAAGGCACAAAGTATGTATTTGTTGAATAAATTAATGTCATGAAGTATATCTTATAAGCAAAATCCACTGCAAATGTGAAGATAAGTTTCATAAAGCATTAACATTGTATATTTTTATGTATATAGTTCATATGTCTAATACAAACTTATTGTCCATTATTGGATGACATGTTTGATACCCAATTTTTCCTTAGTTGTATCTTATAGCTACAACATCTCAAAATTTCCTATTATATCCCATAATCCAAAGAGTTAAAATTCAAATAGACATCTTGTTGCTCTTTACATGAACATCTCTATTTAATATATCAATGCAATTACTAAATTTTCTGCGGAGAATAAAATATGAAAAGAATTTTAATGTATAGAGAACTTGGCTAATAGTCAATATAATTTAATGGCTGCTGAGTATGTGAATACGTGGTGCAATCCAAAAGAAAGATATTAACAAAATATATCTCCTACAACCAAGTCAAATAACTAATTAGCAACAATATATTATGCAGTAATTAATTTGATTTGGTATGTGTATTTTTTTCATTTGGAATTAGGGAATGCCAGCATAAAAACCAGACTGAAGTCCAATGTCTCTTCAATTTACAGCTTTCCTTTTTCTGTTTACTTTATTTTTATAGCTACATTTTGTATTTTTTAAACCATTATGTATTTGAAGTTAGGGTTTAATAATGCTTGTTTTGTTTTCTTGCATTTTTTGCATTTAATTTGCTCCTAGAAATGTTACTAGGAATTTTAATTTTCCTCGAGGCTATTATATATTGTAAAATGTATTACAATATAATTTAATTTGTTACTTTCTTTAAATATATGAACTGTGTAAGACCTACTTGGTGAAATGGAAAATATAGGTGTCATTTTTCCCCCTTCTCACTTGTCATCCTTGCACAGAGGCCATGCTTATTTTCTCTGTATGGTTCCAATTTTAGTATGTGTGCTACTGAAGCAAGCACTTTCCCCCTTTTTAGTCTCAGGTTAAAGTTTTTCCCAGAAACTTCAATTTCAAACACTTATGTCCCACCCAGTACTTTTTTTTTTTTCTTCCAAAAGATTGATTATTGTACATTCGGCACTATATTCCTCACCCTGTCTTTAGAAGAGTCCTACCATCTGTGTGTTCCTTTCCAGAATATTTCCTCCAGGTTGACATCTCAATTTAGAATTTAGTTACGTGATTGAGCTTTCCTGTGAACCAGACTGTGATTGTGGTCATAAATTTCTTTTCTCTGGAAGGCTGCCTCTCAAATGTTCATCAGTTAGCAAGTAAAGCTAGTCAGTTCTATCTAGGTCATGTTCATTCACCCTGAAAGCAGTATTCTAGAGAGATAAAATGAATTTATACACACATGATAATTACCAAGTAAGCCTGTATGAAGTTATAAAAATAATTCTAAATTTCTCTTATTCTTTTATAATGCTTTGTAATATGTACAGTTTCCTTTTCATTTTAAAATTATTTCCTTTGCTTTCTATTTTTCCACGTTACAATACTTGAAGATATATATGTATAGGAAGAAAAACAGCTTTAAGGAAATAAATGTGAACAATTCATCAAGTTCATTTTTTTCCTTGAAAAACTATCATGTCCATTCAATAAATTACTGTTTGCTTTTTGAGAAAACTCAAAACACTTTAGATAAGTTAAATATAGATAAATTAATGAACACTTTAGATAAGTTAAATATAGATAAATTAATGAAAACAAATATATTTTACTTTTTTTTTTTTTTAACGTTTATTTATTTTTGAGACAGGGAGAGACAGAGCATGAACAGGGGAGGGTCAGAGAGAGGGAGACACAGAATCTGAAACAGGCTCCAGGCTCTGAGCTGTCAGCACAGAGCCCGACGCGGGGCTCGAACTCACGGACCGTGAGATCATGACCTGAGCCGAAGTCGGCCGCTTAACCGACTGAGCCACCCAGGCGCCCCGAAAACAAATATATTTTAAAGGCTTTATTTCAAAAATCTACTTCAGTTGCAGAACCCGATATATTTTTATTTAGTCCGGTATACTAAGTCCTTAATATGTTAACAATGTTTTGTTTATTATGCGTTTTTGCAGAATAAGAGGCAGAAAGGAAGCAAAGAATGAAAAGATCTGATTTTGTACAAACATAAGTTTTTAAAATGTTGGGCATATTTTTAAAAAATCAGATAATGTTAAAAAATGTTAATGTTTTATTTATTTTTGAGAGACAGACAGAGAATGCATGTGGGAGGGGCAGAGAGAGGGAGACACAGAATCTGAAGCAGACTCAAGGCTCTGAGCTGTCAGCACAGAGCCTGATGCAGGGCTCCAACTCAGGAACTGTGAGATCATGACCTAAGCCAAAGTCGGACGCTTAACCTACTGAGCCACCCAGGGGCCCCTAAAAATCACATAATGTTTTAAAACATACTAAAGCAATACAACCAGTAAGTAAGGACATAAAGCAGCTATAAAATAGCATTTCCCAGGATATTGTAAATATTATCTGAAACTTAGAATTCTGTGAATTAAGGAAAACATAGATTTTGTGATATGGCTAAGTAATATAAAATTAATGGAAGAAATTTAAGAAATCTACTTTGGGTAGAAAAAAATAACTGCTGGGAATATTTATAATACAGAAGGCTGAAGTATACAGTCTCACAAAAACATTTTGAAATGTAGGGAAAGGCACTGATGTTATATTTCACCTACATTATACATTTCTTCAGAACCAGCCCTGATTCTGATAATCAAGAATTGACTCTTAATTATAAATCCTTTCATAGACACAGCAAATAGTAACTAGTTTTGATATGATGTTATGTAGTTAACTGGGTCACCCACTCACAGTCACTGTGTAGGTTAATTGGAAACAATCCAATGGTAATCCCATCGGTTTCCTGGTTTGCTATGAATGTCCAGGAAAACCTATTATCACATTCTAGAAAAGGGAAAGAGAGGTGAAATTTCTACAGGAGAATTATGATTCTCTGGGTCAGGAGCTGTGGGAGCCACTGTAAATCTGAAAGAGCCTTTTGTCATGGATCAGAGGCCAACAGAGGTCCTGGGCCAAACTTTGAGTACACAGAGATTCTGCTCCAGGAGTTGGGAGCAGAATGGGTCGCTCACAATGGCCACAGTGAACACCAGAATCTGGTCTACAGGATTGTAACTGTTGAACCTGCCAATTTGGCATTGTTATGCTCCGATATCAGAAAGAGAAAGCCCTTCCAACCTTCCTGGCCTTGCAAGACCCACTGCCCGCCAGCTTTGTTTCTTTCCTGCCTTGGTCTGGCAGTTGCAATGGAACACAGGTCTCCAAAGTGCTTCCTGTCTCTATGGAAACTGGCAAGCAGTACCAGACTGATGGCCATGCTCCATAGTGGCTGGGCAGAGGGTGGCACAGAAGGTAGATACCAGGTGTTATCCCTATAAGGCAAGCTGAATCCTGAAAGGATAGAGTCAAAGAAAAATAAATGATGTGGTAACCTAGGAAAACAGAAATATTTAAAGTTTTTCAGAACAAACCTAAGTGCTAGAATGAAATCACGGGAAAATTACTAGAGAATTCTAAATATTCATGGGAACAGAGGAACATTCCAAAAGTGGAAACATTTTGCACTTAGTTATCAGTCTTAATCTTTCCTCCAATTTCCTTTCTCACATGATAGAGCATTTATTGCACTTCTCTTGAGAATTTTAGGCTTGCATTAATAGCATTTGTGCTTTTCAATCCAATAGGCTTTAGTATGCAATATGTGTTTCAGTACACACAACTACTGAGCCACAACTTTCACATTAGAAGGTTATTTGTTTAGAATGCCTTCAGTAATTTAGTGGAAGTAATAGCATGCTGTGTGTGCATTTAGATATATTTTTAGACTCTAAGCAATAAGAATGATCTTGAACTTTCTAAGATTCAGGTTATTTGTATAAACCTCAGACCTGTTGATTGAACAGAAGAGATGGAGTGGGGAGGGAGAGAAATACAAAGCTGGGAAGAGTTGAGGGAAAGACCTAAAGCATAGTAAGGTGCCTTTGTATTTCAGTTAAAAATAAATTGCCTATTCCTGTCATTTCTTGTATTTCAGATCCTTTAGCGTATTGTGTATCTACTGATCCATTTGGCCCTTCTGCTTTTCATAACCCAAATATGAGAACCTTAATATGAAACCAGTATTTTGCATTTCAAATGAGGTTCTGGGAGCACCTGGGTGACTCAATCGGTTAAGCGCCCGACTCTTGATCTCAGCTCAGGTGGCAATCTCCTGGTTTGTGGAATCGAGCCCCTCTCCAGTTCTGCACTGAAGGCATGGAGTCTGCTTAGGATTTTCTCTCTACCCCTCCCCTGTACGTGCTCTCTGTCTCTCAAACTTTTTTTTATAAACTTAAAAATAAAATGCAGTTTTAGAGAGGACACAAAAATATTTAAAAACAAGCCAAAACATTATGCATGCCATTTGATTCAGATGCCGATAACTCTTCTTAATTAAATGATTTTGTAGGCTTCACTGACAGTTTTCATTAAGTATAAATATTTTCTAAAATGAAGGATCAAAATAGGTGACATTGCTTATCTCATGAGAAGTTCATGCTTTCCTATTGAAAAACTATATCTTAAATTCTCTTCACATCTTGTTTTTATTTGTTCTCCTTCACTGTTGTTAAAGCTGGTTCTTCCTTTGAGAAAGTTGTGCTCATTTTCAGGAAGAAAAATAATGAGGGTCCTCAGTTCCTGTTAAATAGCCCACAAAATTTGATCATTTACCCTGAAAAATCACTGACTGTAACTCACTCCCTCTCAGATGTGCAGAGACTCAACCTCTGCCTGTCTGTCTAGATATATCTCAGGTGATTATTGCTCTTGGTAAGTAAGCACTCATGCACAATGTGCACTGATCCACTGTTGTGGCCCACATTTAATCTTTAGCGCAGGGAGAGAGATGGAGAAAACCATTGCCTTCACTCATCATCCATTCAAGAGATAGCAAGGCTTGAATGATGCCGTTTTTGGAAGCAGAGCTGTGTTTTGGGATCAGTGTTCAAACATGCATCTTTGCCTGTCTGCTCTCTTTCAACAATACTGCTGGCTTCAAAGATCTCCCTTTGCTGCTTTGCCTCTCCACGGTAATGGCACATCACAGCCTGTCAGCAAGGTCCAGGTGGCCATTAACTTAGAATTTGCTTCTTTATGTACTATTGACAGTGTGCTAGGTTCTTGGTGGTCAGTCAATGAAAGCATTCTTGAAATGTGTGAAGCAAGGACAGCCCGTAACTAACTGAGGTCAACTGAGGCCAACAAGAGTCAAGACTCAGTTCATTTGATTTTGAGTTCGGTAATTCCTAATCTAGACAGGGAAAGGTTTGAACCGTTTTTCTCTAAGTACGTGAGAAACGGAAACATGGAAGGAATAATGGCAGCTTCTCTGTCTGCTATTTAAAGACAGGGTCAAAAGAGCCATCTTTGCAGGCTATTGAATAATTGCTCTTCATTAAAGTGTCTTTCACAGCAATAAATTAGCAAATTGTTTCCATTTAACTACTGAAACTAACCTAAATGGTTTTCAATCACTGATACTGGTTAGAAATAAACTTGGCAGACTATGAAGAGTATCAGTTCAACAGAATAGAGGAAAAAAGATCATTTAAGGGACTTTTATTGAATACTGGTGGGTGGGAGGAGAAAAGGCCTCTTGGAAAATGATGTGAGGATAAAGGGGGAAAAAGACTGAAGATACTCAGAATTTGAAGAAAAGAACTTCAACAATGAACTGTATTACATTAGGAAGAGTTCATTGGTTTTCAGAAAGAAATAAAAACTTTATTTATGCTATATATGTATGCAATACTCCCAACAAGAGACATCAAAGGTAGCTTTTCCAGTGGTGTTCTATAAATGTTTAACACCTGGCTCTGTGGGAAAAAACACTGACTTGAGTTGTTTGCCAATTTCCACAGTGAAAAGATTCTCAATGTGGTCCATTTCCAGCTACCAAGGCATGTCATTTAGCAAAAGAGAGGAGAGTTGACTCTCCTGAGCTGTTATGACTCAGCTCTAGCATATCATAACTTTTACTTGAATTTCAAGTGTTCCTTCAATTATTTAAAATAGATGTAAAAGGGGACACATGGATGGCTCAGTGGATTGAGCATCTGACTCTTGATGTCAGCTCTGGTCATGATCTCACGGTCTTGGGATCGAACCCCATATCAGGCTCTCTGCTGGGCATGGGGCCTGCTTCAGATTTTCTCTTGAGATTTTCTATCCCTCTGCCACTCTTCCCCACTTGTGTGTTCTCTCTCTCTCTCTTTCTCTCAGATAAAAATTAATGAAGAAAAAAGATATAAAAGTTCTACATGCAGCTTTGAATTGTTTGACTCCAAACTCTATGCTTGTTTTATAAGTTAGTCAGAATTAAGTTCACTTTATTTTCAAAGCATTTTTTTGGTCAAGCACATGAGGTTTGAAGACAAAGTGCAAGAGTTCAAAACCTAGCTGCTGTGCTTTCTAGCTGTGTGGCTGTGGGCACATTATTTAAACTCTCTTTGCATCAGTTCCCACATCTTCAAGGCAGAGATAACAACAAGGTTGGCATGAAACGTAAATCACTAATAAAAGAAATACACTTAGAATAGTGCCTAGAATATTGTGAAGGCTCAGATAAGCTTAGCTTTATTTTTCTTATATTTACCTTTGGCTTAGTGTTCGTGGAGGATGAGATGATAGAGGAAGGGTACTGTCAAAATGGATGTTGATGCAAGGGAACTTGGACCAGGAAGGGAGGGTAAAATATTTCCATTTCAGAGGTCTGTCTACCTAAAAGGGCTTAGTTAGGGCTTATTATACTTCATATTCAAGAAAAGTTATTATCTTTTATGCTTTTCCCCTTCTGGAGCATAAATTTGGCACAGTCTGTCTTTTTATGCTTCACTTTGGGGGCTGACAATGGTATTAGATGTGTCTGTTCTAGACCACAATCTGTTATATCTTATGTACACTCCTCGTGATTTTCAATTAGAACTTCATAAAAACTGTCTTAAGATATTCTACTAATAAGGGTTTTGAAATTTAAGTTTTCCATATATATATATATTTTTTTCTTGGTGAAGAATCAGTCTCTCCTTCTGCCCCTCTATTTTGACCATGAACAAATGCTACAGACTTGAGTTATTCTGGTCATTCTACTGTCACAAGTTCCCCTACAAATGCCAGCCTCTACCCTGCGAAGATGCTTCATTTTGGACAATGAGCACCCACTAGGAGTTCCAACTCACAATACAGAATGTTAAGCAATGCAGCTGATTCAAAGATAAGGAAGACAACCTCATCACCTGCCCTTTAAATAGCCTGGGAACAAGTAAAGGAGACTGATATTTATGCAAATAATGAAAGGGAATAAATACAAGGAGGGGAGGAGGAAAATGAAGGACATAAGCTGCCTGGAAAAATAGAAAAATAGCCAGCTTCTACAATTCTAAATTGGAAGTTTGTTTCCTTTAAAGATGATCATAAACTTGTTTGATAAGAATAACTCCTCTGAAATCTAGGATGGTGCTGAGCTCAGCCAGAGAAAGGATAATTTTACAGTAAGGCCCCAAATGGTATGACCAAAGCATCTCACAAATTCTCACAGATAGGAAAAAAATAACGAGTTATATACCACACCTACACTGCCTTCTCCCTTGCTATCACACCCTCTCCCAAAGTTTCTGAACTCTGCAGTCTCCTTAGCAAGTTTCTCTTCCTCTGTGCATCTTTCAGATGTTGATTCATACAAGGCAAGGCATGTAGTAGGTCCTCCAAAATATTTGTCTGATGATTGCATTGCAAATGAATCCTTAATTTGGTAACACACTAATTTTTCTAATTGGGAAAATTGTTAACTTCTTTGGAAAGACTCTCTGAAATGGGATTAAATGACAAACTTGAGCCACAAGGAGTTAAAAGAGAAAAGTAGCAGTTAACCTGATGCTCTCTCCAGGTTATAACCAGAAGTAAAAGGCAATTCAAAGCTTGAGAAGAAGTTTGACTGCTTACAAAACTGGCTTTTGAATTGATTTTGGAAACCACATATCCTAAGGGTATTTAAGATTAGTAGATTCTCCACATGAGTTTGCTCTCTATTGGGAAAAACTAAATTATTTGACTGCAGGGATTTTAGGCTGCAGGTCCCAGGGAACAGAAGTCATAATACTTTAAAGTCAGAATCTACGTGGGGAGAAGATGGAGGGAAGCTGTCCTAATCTCCTACCTGAAAGGACAGGTGTAGGTATACTAGTGTATATACAGTACCTGGCATGTAGAAGACCCTAACAATTATTACTTTCTTTCTTCTATAGGCCAGTAAGGAAAGATTTACTAAGGAAATTATTGTCCAAAGTAAGTTTTGAATAGGATAGGATATTTAAGAGCACTTGCTACTGACATCCTCTGTTATTTGATTTTAATGTTATAACTGAAATTTATGAGGGCATAGCTCGGCTAGGTATGGAATTGGAAATTTCATTGTCAAAGGGTTTACTCAGTTATTTTGTTGTTGTTGTCTAATTCACACTTAAGCAAATAGTGACAAAGTTACTATGGCTCAGCAGCCCTTGTGGAAAAATAAGAATAAAATTCTCAACTTTCAGAACAAACTCCAAATGGTTCATTGACTTTGTTTCACCATGGAAAATCACTTAACCTCCCAGTGTCAGTTTACCCATCTGTGAAATGAGAAGGAGAAGATTTTCTTATGGGGATGTTTTGAAAATTATTTTGCAAATGTAGTGGATGAAATTATTGCAAGCATCACTGCTCTTTTTCCACTTCTTTAAAGAAGCAGACGATATTATTTATGTACCAGTTGATAGTCAAATTGTTATCTGGGGTGAACTGTGTATTCTTATTAGCAGCTGTGTGCTTTTTATTACTTAAAGAATCCCACCTCCCCCAGCTTGTTCAATTTATGTGTTACATCAATGCCTGGGAATTTGAGCAAAATATCTTAAAATCATTCTGAGCTTCATATTTATGAGCTGCTCATCTGATAACTCTGGTAATTATTCCTTCTTTCTGTTTTAGCTCATGTTTTCTCTTATGTGGTTTTCGCCTCACCTCACTTCACAAGATTGATAGTTCTCCACGTTTCCCTGCTAGAGGTCACCTCTGAGCTGAAGGCAAAACACATCCCACTCTGGCTCCTGTTGACTTTTAAGTCAACTATCAAAGAATTTATTCCAGACATCTCCTAACCTCAATTTAAAAACTCCACCCTAAAGATTACAGGGAGATATCCTGGGGAGTTGCCATAGTGACTCTAAGAGGTTGGCATTGAGAAGACAAAGCTACTGATATCAGATTTTATACTTGATAGGCTTAATTATATAACATGGTCATGAACCTCTGTGCTTGTGTCACTTAGGTCTGGAAAGAAATTTTCCCCTTCAGGCTCTTCTGTCTCTTACGGTGCCAATCAACAGGCTTCTTGGTAATAAGATCCTTTATGCCAATAGCTCCAGCATAACCTCAAGTGGTGCTTGTAGTAATGATAGAATCATTACAAAACGAAAGAAGAAGAGAGAAATATATTTCATGGGTGTGATTAAGTCATCATAATGTTCTTGCATATGTAAATTATCCTTGACTTAATGAACTACCTTGCTCACATAATAGTATTTTAACCTGGCTCTGGAAAGTCATTTTCTACCCATGTTGATAATTGTTACTGGGTTTGGCAGAGCTCATCTCCAGATCATCTTACTAGAGTGAAATTTAGGTATTATGTTTCCATGTGCATGAGTTTTGTTTTAACTATTAGAAGTGTTCTTACTAAGTAAAGTTATTATATGAATTATCTTAATAAATTAGTATGATACTTAGGAAGATAGAAAACTTGATTATATTCTACTGATCTGATTTGACAAGGGTCATTTGAAATATGTTTTTTTTTTTCTTGATTATAAAAGAAATATGTATTCATTGGGGAAATCAGGAAACAAGAAAAAGGAACAAAGGGTCATTTGAAATACAGGTTTTTTTCTTGATTATAAAAGAAATATATATTCATTGGGGAAATCAGAAAACAAGAAAAGGAACAAAGGAGAATATTATCACTTCTCCTAAGTTAATCTCTTTAAGATTTTGATGGATATTCCACAAGATGAACACTTCTTGAAAAATACTTACATTGTTTTCTCCAACACATTTTGTGTTTCTAAAAACAGCTGCATCTACAAGAAGCTCTGATAAAATAGGATTCTTTTTTTTTTTTATGTTATCAGAAATTGAATCTAAAGTTCCAGTATCCATATTTCATAGACTTTATTCAGGATTATAAAAGCTACCAGGGAAGTGTCTTATGTGTTTCCTCTCCTGCATTAGAGAGTTCAATTCAGCCAAAATTATTCCAGTGCCTTATCTTCAAAGATGACTAGAACCATTCCATATTATTAATGCAAGGCCAAAGGAAATTAATGACAATCATGTTACTATTTGCATATAAATCTTCATGTGTGCCTAGGAAGAAAAGAAGGTTTTCTGGAACACATAAGGGAGTATGAAGGAGTCTTGTCCTCTAATTAAGGACTTTCAATTATTTTTTTTTTCTGTCTTTTTGTAATATATAGTTATGTTGTTGTTTGGTTGGTTTAAATTTTACTTGGAGTAAGAAGTCCAACATAGTTCTTGGGAAGTTAATCATTTTATAACTCTCATTTAATCAACATTTTCTTTAATCCCCTTTTAGGCAGCCAAGGGCAGTTTCCACTAACACAGAATGTAACGGTTGTTGAAGGTGGAACTGCGATTTTGACCTGCAGGGTTGATCAAAATGATAACACCTCCCTCCAGTGGTCAAATCCAGCTCAACAGACTCTGTACTTTGATGACAAGAAAGGTGAATACATTTTCTTTTAAATGTTTTAATCATATTCTGAAATATCCTAATTATAATGAATTTATTTTTCTAAGATGATTCAAATTATTCGTTTTGATTACAAAACTGCCGCTGCTTGTATTTAAACATGTTAAATATTAAATACTTTAGTTTGCAAGTCATAAACACTAAAGATAACCTATGTCAACTTTTTAATAAAATAAACAGTTACAGTTCTATTTCAAAAATCATTTTATGCCTTCTCTTAACCATTATATTCTCTCTAGATATCATATTCCTTCATTCTTGTAATTGCCTTCTGTATAGATTAAATGCTTTTTCCTCATTCTAGGTAATATAATTTTTTTTTAATTAACCTTAGTTTAATATATTTACAAGATGCTGTATGATTTTGGAAAGTTTTGTGACATTATTCTTATGAATGGGCTTGAAAGTAAGAATTGTAGAAACCATTCCCATAATAAATTTAAGTATCTGCATGTTTCAAAATAAACTGAAATTAAAAAGCTGTATTTACTTCAAGTTGAGTTAGACTTCATTAATTAACTGGGCTCCTAATTGGATGATAGGTTTTGATTAAACTTTTTTGGAAAGTAATGAAATTCATAATATTTAATTCAAGCAAACAACTAAAATTATACACTGAATTTCCAAGCCTTCATCCATTATTATAAGCGCTGGGGTGACGTGGGGGGGGAAACGAGTTCATGGACTATAACAAAAATAAGGAGCTGTTGCTTTAGATTATTTAAATTATATAGAATATAAATATCTATATATCAGCTCTTCAACATGGTCTTAATATCTGGATTTCTTATGAATCTGTGTAGATAACAGTAAGAAAATTTGAAATCAGCTCCATTTTAATGATTAAAGTGTATTCAAATTAGTCCAATAAATGTGCCCATTCCCCCTAAGATAGAAATTCACTATGTTTTTTACCTCACTGTAGTTTTTCTCTTTGATGTACTCCAAATTTAAAATGAAAATTTTAATTATTTTCAACTTTAATATATAATGAAAGATTGGCTAAAAATCGAATTTATTGACTCAATTTTTTTTTTTTTTGAGGTTTCCTTTGTAAAAGGCATTAGAGTTAGTGAACAAACAGGTAAAATATCTGCCCTTATAGGGACATACGGTCCAGTAGGGGCAGACAATAAACACATGAACAAAATATATTTTAGAGTACATTGTTAGGGGACAAGTATGCTCTATCTTGATAGATACATAGATGCATAGAGACATTAAAGCTATCTACAGAGAGAGAAGGACAGAGACAGAGAGACAGAGAGAGATGGAGAGTGAGAGAGGAAGAGTGAGACTAAAAAACTGGCTCGAGTGATTGTGGAGGCTAGCAAGCCTGAAATATGCAAGGCAGGCCAGCAGACTGGAGACCAGGGAAGAGTCAATATTGCAGCTCAAGTCTTAAGGCAGTCTGGAGAAAAAATCCCTTCTTACAGGGACCTCACATGTTTCCTCTTAAGGTTTCAACTGATTGAACAAGACCACATTATGCAGGCTAATCTGCTTTACTCAAAGTGTACTGACTTCAATGTAATCTCATCTAAATATACCTTCACAGCAATATCCAGATTGGCATTTGACCAAATATCTGGGTACTGTGATCTAATTAATTAGTTGTCACATAAAGTTAAGTATCACAGAAGGTCAGGCTAGCATTTCTATAGAAGTATATTACTTAGAAAGAGTTTTTATTTATTGTTTTATTTTGCTATTTAAAAGACAAATGCAGCAGATATCACTAAAGGCCATATTTTCATAGGAGCACAAGGAAGGGGCTAAATGTCTCACAGTCTTGTGAGATTTAAAGTTAATATTGTCATTTAAAGATTGTGAGTTAAATATTGACCAGACTTAAAGCCAATGTGTTGACTCCATATTTATATATCTCATGTTTTGATTAAGAGTGTTTGATGTGAAATCATTCATGTTTAACAGGGACTTGTAGTAGTAGACATTTCTTTTGTTTTTTTTTTTTTTGTTTGTTTGTTTGTTTTGTTTTGTTTTGGTACTTTAAGAATATTTTAGAGAGTCTGAAAATGAATTTTAAAGCCTTCATCTGCTAAACACTCACTATAGCAGTATTAATACAATTTTAATTCCTATTAATATTATTGATTATTTAATGCTTCTTATTAAGGACTCTTTTATCCCATTTAGAAGTTTTTAACAGATTTTATGAGACTATATCTCTTTGCAATTTGATAAATATGAGAAATATCTAATGCGATAGTTTAAAGCTTAAAGAAAGTATATTATTCAAGAGTAAAAATTTGATTTTGTGAATTAATTATTTTACAATTTCATAAATAAAACCACAAAAAGTAGCTTGTATCTCAAGTATATTCAGTCGGAATGAAAGTTGTATAAGTGAAAATGAAGCTTAAAGACTTTTCATTTCACTGGTTCTTAGTAAAAAATATGTCTAAGTTTTATCATGCTAATATTATGTAAGCTTTATATTTGGTTTTAAATCTACTAGTGCTTTTGGTGTAGTGATGGCACATCTCCTTGAAAAAAATGTGTCAGTGTTTACTTTTCTTTGCTCCTTTATGGTGTTTGGAGGAATTTGTGATTGCTGTTTAAAACCAGTGATCTCTGTTGCTTTTCAAAGAATGAAGTCACATTGGTTAAAAAAGAAAATATATAAGAGTCACACAGAGATTCAACAAACTCCTTTTGCTTTTAATATTAGTTGCTTACAAGTATTTGTAAATAAGTATTTAAACATATATGCCCAAATATAAGGTGACATCAATTTTAAGAAAAATCTCTTGTTTTCTCAATGGTATAAAGCAAGAGAAAATGTTTTGGGGGCCACAGTCCTTTAAATATAATCATGGAACAATGAAATATATACTTAAAACTATTTAATTTGTTGATCTGATTATATGTGCATATTTAAACTAAAAGAAAAACACATATTTATTTAGAGACATTGCTTTTCCATCCTGGCATTTAAGGAAATCATCTTACTTAGCAGTGTTTTTTCAAAGTGTAGGATGTTATCAATGAGAAATTTGTCCCAAGAAACAACTATGATTTTTTATGACACCAGAACAATTTTTTGTTGTTCATTCATCCTGCAGGAGTATAATAATGACCTCCACGATGTACCAACATATTGTCCTGCTTTTTAAGGAGATTTTTGAGAGTCATGTTTACAGTGACATCTACAGTGGTGAGGTCAAATCCTCAGGCACAAAAACAAAATCTATACAAAATGTCTTTGCTTCCTCTTACAATGATTCTATAAGTTATCCTTTATAGAACATCTAAAACCAGAATTGATTCAGGGTATTTCAAGCTAATGTGTTAGGATCTTGTTGAAAAAAAAAAAAAAAAAGAGCTTGTAATACAAGAAATGCAAAGACTTAGAAACAAGGCAGCCCCTCTTTCCTGAGGGATAATTATGGTGAGAAAAAATCCATCATGTTATATTTGGGATATATAGCAACATATTCCTGCATCTTATTGCCATAAAATCGCAATATCTGATCATATGAGTTGTTGTAGTGTGAACTTGCTTTATTTTATTTTTTTTCTTTACCAATTGCTATGATAGCTTAGAGTCATGTTGAAAAAAGCCTCCGTGTGTGTATGTGTGTGAATGTAGTATAGCCAGTTTCTAGTTTTGATATTAGATTTTTTCTAATTCTAACTCTATTATGGTTTTAAAAATCTGTTGCAACAGAATAACAGAAAGTTGTGCATAAAATACCCTTTCATGAATGGCAGTCTAATGTGTGTCCCCTCACAAGTCATTGGTTCAGTTCCTTTGTGATGTCTCAGTGGAAGGGATCTTTGACAGTGATGTCCATCAAATACAAGAGTTTGAAAATGAAAGCATTTTTTGATGATGCCAAATCACGGTTTGTCCCACATCATCTTTTTGTCCACATTTACCCGCCTCACTTCAGTCCTAAAGCTTATCTTGAGCAAACAAACATGCTACATTGTGCCAGAGCCTAAGTACAGAAGCTGAGCATGGGTTAGCATGACTGGAGTAACACACACATGCTGTGCAAGTGACAACTGCTCAGGAGAACAATAGAAAAAATGAGTGATTGTCTGTGTCTCTGATTGCACCACCTTTTGCAGGTGGCTGCTACTGTTACATAAAGGCTCCCTCCTTAATTCTGTGCTTATTTCTGTCTCATATTATATTGCCTATTGTTTTCAGGAGCTTTCAAAACAGAAGTTTTGAAGGGTATACAGTATCACAGTGTTTTAATTGTGTCTCAGGTGCTTTTAAAATGCAGCTGAGGTTGGGGCGCCTGAATGCTCAGTTGGTTAAGCCCTGACTGATTCCTGCTCAGGTCAGGATCTCACCGTTGGTGGGATGGAGCACTGCATTGAGCCCCGCATAGGGCTCTGCGCTGAGAGTGCAGAGCCTGCTTGGGATTCTCTCTCTCTCTCCCCTTCCCCTGTTCTCTCTCTCTTTCTCTCTGTCACTCAAAATAAACTTTAAGAAATGCAGCTGAAGTTGAAAAGCTTTGGGTTTAAGCAAGTAAATTTTCACAAAAGTTCTGTATCCCTAAACTTAGGTTTTTGTACTGACATAGGTTATTGAGAAGGAAGGGAGAAAAGGAAAGAGGGCAAGTGGCCCAGAAGAATGGAACAAGTGCTTCTCATTGACATTGTCACTGCTGCTATGAGCCCCAAAACATGTTCCGAGAAGTTTTTCATGCTACCTGAAGACACAGGTCTGGAAGGGTCCTTCCAGCCTATGAGGGTTGAACAAAGAACTCAGGATGGCAGCCCATTGGCCCAGTTCAAACTGGGAAACCTTTCTTGTTTACTTGGAATTATTAGCTAAAGAAAAACACGCTGTGAGTGGACAGTTGTTGGTCAGCAAAAGGAGAAGTAGGCTGAAGCCCGTTCCTGGTAGTCTCTGTAAGGGAGGTTAAATGTGAATATTCAGGAATCTCTTCTCAGATGGAGATAGGTGTGTGTGTGGCGGGGGGGGGGGGGG